TGTATGAAACTCTTAGGTACATCCTTGTATCCTAGTTGCACTGGCAGCATGAATTGTAGGCTGGTGATCATTTGCTCTGTGTCTAAATCCATATATGGGTTCCTCTTTTTTGACTGGGTTACCTCACTCTGAAAGATTTCTTCAAGTTATGTCCACTTGCCTACAAATTTCAATATTTTATTGCCCCCCTCGAGAAGTATTCCATTATGTAAATGTACCATATTTTCTTTATCCATTCTTCAGTTGAGGGGCATCTAAGTTGCTTCCAGGTTCTTGCTATTACAAATAATTCTGCTACGAACATAGTTGAGAACATGTCTTTGTTGCATGGATCTGGATCATTTAGGTCTATGCCTAAGGTTGGAATTGCCTGGTCCTGTGATAGACTGATTCCCATTTTCCTTAAATACTGCCATAATGATCTCCAAAATGGCTGTACAGTTTGCACTAATACCAGCAGTGGAGCAGTGTTCCCTTTTCTCCACATCCTCTCCAGAATAAGTTGTCATTGGTGTTTCTAATTTTAGCCATTCTGAGAGGAGTAAGATGGTATCTCAGAAATGTTTTGATTTGCATTTCCCTGATGTCTAAGGATGTTGAGCACTTTCTTTTTTGTCTTTTAGCCATTTTGGATTCTTCTATTGAGAATTCTCTATTCAGTTCTGTACTGAACTTTGTAAATGGATCACTTGGTGTTTCTGTGACTAGCTTCTTGTGTTCTTTGTCTATTATAGAGATCAGCCCATTGTCAGATGTGGGGTCAGTGAAGATCTTTTACCAGTCTGTGGGCTGCCATTTTGTCTTGTCGACTGTGTCCTTTGCCTACACAAAGTTCTCAGTTTCAGGAGATCCCATTTATTAACTGTCAATCTCAGTGTTTGTGCTACTGTTGATATGTTCAGGAAGTAGTCACCTGTACCTATTCATTCAAGGGTATCTCCCACTTTGTCTTCTAAGAGGTTCAGTCTGGTTGGGTTTATGTTCACTTCTTTGATTCATTTTTAATTAAGTTTTGTTCCTGTCTACAGATAAGGATCTATCTTCAATCTTCTACATGCCAGCACTATTTGATGAAACTGTTTTTTCCCCATTATATACATCAAAAAGAGATGTTCATAGGTGTGTGGATTAATATCAGGATTTTTATTTAGATTCCATTGGTCTATCTGTCTGTGTCCCAATACCAAGCTGTTTTCATTACTATAGCTCTATAGTAGAGCTTGAAGTCAGCGATAGTGATACCTCTCTATTATACAGGGTTGTTTTGGATATCCTGGGTTTTTTGTTTATTCTATAAAAAGTTGAATATTGTTCTTTCAATGCCTGTGAATAATATGCTGATATTTTGATGGGGATTGCTTTGAATCTGTGTATTTCTTTTGGCAATTTTCATTTTTTTTACTATGTTGATTCTACCTATCCAAGACCATGGGAGATCTTTCCATTTTCTGGTATCTTCTTTCATTTCTTTCTTTAAAGACACTAAGTTTTTGTCATACAAGTCTCCCAAATGTTTGTTTAGAGTTACCCCAAGATATTCTATATTGTTTGTGGCTATTGTAAAGGGTGAGGTTTCTGTTTTCTTTCTCAGCCTCTTTATTGTCTATACATAGTAGAGCTACTGATTTTTTTCTTTTTCTCTTTTTTCTTTTTTTAGTTAGTTTTTAGTTAGTTTTTTTTAGTTTAGTTAGTTTGCTGAGGGTGTTCATTAGTTGTAGGAGTTCCCTGTAGAGTTTTTTGGGTCACTTATATAAACACTCATATCATCTGCAAATAGTGAAAGTTTTACTTTTTCCATTCCAATTTGTATCCCCTTGATCTCTGTTTGTTGACTTATTGCTTTAGTTAGAACTTCAAGTACAATATTGAAAAGATATGGAGAGAGTGGACAGCCTTTTCTTGTTCCTGATTTTAGAGAAATCACATTAAGTTTCTCTCTACTTAGATGTTTTTTGTTTGTTTATTTGTTTGTTTTGTTTTGTTTTTTTCTTAAGAAGGCCCACTGTGTAACTCCAGGAGTAATTATATTTGTATATTTGTGTTCCTCTTTCCTCAGCTGTCCAACCATGAACTTTTCAGAAGTTCACCATAATAGACGCACACAACTTGGCAACTTTTTAAACATGCTTTCTCTTAAGGGTCATTTCTTTAAAATGTTCTATTACTAGGCTAAAGGCATAAGGAAGTGAATTAAATGACTATTCTTACTGCTATGAGCAGTATCCTATATATAGCCAGCAAAAGATCACTCTGGATAGAATGGTATAAAACAAAAACTGCTATGTTCCATATGTAATGAAGCAAAGCATGTAAAAAATTATGTTTTGTTTGAAATATTTTTTTAATAAGCTTACAATCCTAAGCACTAAAATACACATACACATACACACACACACACACACACACACACACACACACACACTCATACTGAAGACTCATTCCTTATCCTGATAAATTTTAAAGTGTTTGAACTGAAAGACAGCTTCATCCATATATACTATGATAGGATACCATTTTACATGTTTGTATAAGCACATTATTCATAACTAAAACATTCCTACTGCAAGTTAAGTATAAAGATGCTTAACTTTTAATATTAGAACTTAAATTATACTAAAATGACTAAAGATAGGCATGGTGGCCTCCTAGATGGAATATCTGTCAATTGGTCTATAGAAGATCCTGCTGATCTGAGTTGCATTATGTTCAGTAAAAAATGATTGCTTTCATGGATAAAAGTTTCTACAATGTACTGGGGGATATACAAAATTCTAAAGTTTTTCTTAAAATAGGTATAGTTAGTAATTAAATATTTTCTAAGATAAATTAAAATATCGTTTCAGAGAGAATATTTCTGTATATATTGATATTGTCTGAACAGTAATCCTTATTTCTAATTATAAGTTCCCTTTATAAAACATTTTGGAAGGCTACCCCATAGTCAACATTTACTACAAAATGATTGTGTTATCTAAATAAAATGTAATATACCACTATAAAGAGCACAACTACTTAAATAGCATACCAATTCCAGGTGACATAGTTGATGGTTTTATGGTAACCTTATGCAATTATACTGAGAATAGAAATAGTCAACATTAATATTATGTTATTAATATTAGAAATTCTATTAGTTTTGTTTTTTAAACCAGATTCAGATGTTATGCTTGAACAATACACATAGATTGCTATTAATAGCTTATATTATATCCATATGTATTATGTTTATGATGTTCTCAGCTTATAGTTTTTTTAAACTATAAATAAAATTCTCTGAAATTTTCTAACTATTTCTGTTCCTAATCAACATAATAATAGTTAGTTGTGTCTATTTACCTATATATGTGAATTTTTCAATATGGGTACAAATGTGTGTGTGTGTGTGTGTGTGTGTGTGTGTGTGTGTGTATCTATGTACATATGTACACATATGACAGGATGTATTTTAAAGTAAATCAGTTAGAGATATTCTCTATATTCCTAATATTCAGGAAGCATGAGAAAATAAAAGTATTAGTCATTGCTATTGAGAAAAATTAAACTTGACTCTACAAATGTCTCAGCAAGGTAATTGTTGTCTATAATTTTACTTTTTCTGATGCAATTTACAAAACAGGATAGTGGTTTGAATAGTTCTGTAATAGGGGTTTTTAGTTTAAAGATTGTCCTTCCCACTTCTAAGATAATGGATGGTAACAGCCTAAATAAGAATTCCTTTTCTTGGAGACAAGAGACTGTGTAATAGGTTACAAGTGTAATCTATTTCTGACGTCCCTAGTTAGAGTAATATGAGGCTGTGCTGAAGCTCACACAAATCATATAACTTGAGCACTTGCCATGTACATAAGGAGGGCATAGTTCTCTTGTCATCCCCAGTCTTATAATGCAAAAACTTTGTATTTAGATTGAATTTTATAACAAATTACAAATAGCCATTTGTTAAATGGCCATACCATATAAGATACATTGCCTTTCTCTTCAAGACAGATGAAGAAAAAAAAAAAAAGGTATAAGAAAAACTAGTCCTTGAACTTGATTGAAAGGTGTCTGTGGTGAAATTGGAGTTACTACACTGGTTCAAATTAGATGACACAATTGGTGGTTCACTGAATCCCTGTGAAGTCTGTAAACCCAAGCAGCCAGTTGTGATACTTAGCAGGTAAAAATGTAATATTCATACACAGTGTATCAAAATAAGAGTCTAAACAATTGCAGGAACTATAGGGCACAAAGAAAGGAAGGGGCTGGACGTTAATTCTTAGTTTGTAAGAATTGACTGAAAAGATAATAACCACATTCCCATTCCCAACAATGTGCTCGTGACTCTGCATAAACATGGACAGACATGCAAGTGCTACATAGAATAAATATTTAAGTGAAAAATTCAATGATGTAAAAAATGACTGTACTGTACCAGTACCCAGCAGGGATAGAAAACATAATACCACTTCATTGCTATGTGGTTAGTAAAATTTGGACATATTTTTCCTTTTCCTTTCCTCTTGCAACTTCCCAAATAAACTCATTTTCTTAGAGTCAATTTGTATTTCCCAGCTTAATGAAGCATTTTGCCTATGTAGCTCTGCAACTGTTCTCTGAAGCTGGCCAAAAATGATCTCACCTACAAGATGAATCCATCACACAATACGCATCAACATTTTTATTTCAATGAGGATGACACAGTACATATCAAATTGGTGTTGAATAATTTATTTCTCTTTCAGGTGCAATCTTCCAAGCTCATTGTAACTTTCCTTCTGACACTCATTTCATGTTTAATAGTTCATGGCCTCATGAGGATGCTTGTCAGTCAATTAAATTGAAATGTCATTCTGACCTTTAATTGGAACAATTTACTCTTTTCTTCCCTTCATTGGGAGCTTTTTTTCCTGTTTTTCAAATTCAAAGCCAAAATCACAAAATTACATGTATTCATAAACTTTATAACTAATGTTGGAAAATGATCTACTCGCCAACATATTGACACTTTATCATTGCAGAGGTAATCCAGCTGAGTCTGCCTGAAGATCAGAAAGTAAGCATCACTGCAGCCACTGTAGGACAAAGTGCTGTTCTGAGTTGTGCCATCGTGGGAGCCCTGCGACCCCCTATCATATGGAAGAGGAACAATATTATTCTAAATAATTTAGATTTGGAAGACATCAATGTGAGTATGTGAAACAAATATGCTATACAGTGTGTGCATTTTGCAAAGTTACCTGAGGCTCTGTTTGTCTGGGGAGCTAAATGAATACTGGATACAGAGTAGAAGTGAATTATTAGAAGGTTGTATATCCATCCTACCAATTGGTAGGTGCCCAAGGAGCAGTTGCAATTATACAAATCATTTGTTTTGGTATAGAAAGACTATGAAGCTGTATATTTGTCATAAAATACATAAGCACAACATTTTTATAAATATCTCCTTAGTTTTAAAATGCAAACTGTCTCCCTTGTGAATTCACAACTAATACATATTCCAGGAACACATTCATGTAAGCTAAAAATTGCAGGCATGAAGTTGTGAATGTTAAGAGTCCAAGAATAAAAAGTTACAATTGCCACCTATAAAAAGATATGCATGATTATATGAAGTGTGTGTGTGTGTGTGTGTGTGTGTGTGTGCGCGCGCACATGAGCATTCATAGATTTTAGTTTTAGGGTAGCAGCAATATTTAGTTATGTGAAATTATAAGACTTATATGTTTGTATAATACATATCCCCTTAATTCACATGTTGGTGTATGTATATGTGTGAATTTGTGCTTGTGTATCTCTGTATATGTGTGTGTGTGCATGTGTGTGTGTGTGTGTGTGTGTGTGTGTGTGTGTATGTGTATAATTTATAGAAAGTATCTGGAGTCTATCTCTGAATTGATTCCCAGCATACCATGGTACTAAGAATAAGGGATAGAACTAGGTATATACCTAGGTGATATCTCTTTACACCTTTTGTAACTTCTAACTTGTTCATGTATTAATTTTTAGAAGAAAATTCTTTGAATTATATTGTATTATACACTTGTTAATAATGACCACATACTTAGGGAACAAAATATAGAAAGAATATGTGCCTGCGTGTCTGTCAATGCATGGCTGTCTCTGATGAAATGAATGGCTAGAGTAATCTGTGTTTACTGGGAAAATGTAGAATATGTCCCTCATAGGATGAACAGTGTTAATATTGAATAGAGCCTGAGTATTTTCTCAAGGAATAGATAGATCAGGGCAAGTAAAACAAACAAATAATTATAAAAATAAAACTAGAAATAAAATTAAATCTAGTGAGCTCTACCTGTATTGATTAAGCGTCTCTGGAAGTCATATATGTCAAGGAATCATTGAAGTATCTCTAACTATGGGTAATTAATCTCTGCAATGTTATCATTGTTGCATAACAGCCAATAGCTTGTGAAAAGACACATGGGACTAAATGAAGTTTAACTTTGCAATACATTGGCAACAAGAAATATTATCTTAGTTATACTTTTACTGTTATGAAGAAGCACCATGACCATGGCAAATCTGATAAAAGAAACCATTTAATTAGGGCTTGCTTATTGTTTCAAAAGTTTAGTCTGTTATCATCATGAGGTTGATCATTGTAGCATGCAAGCAGGCATGATATTGGGGATGCAGTTGAGAGTTCTACATTCAGAACTGCAGGCAGTAGGAAGAGCCAAAAACTGGGCTTGGCATGGGCTTTTGAAATTCCAAGGCCCACCCCCACTGACAGACTTCCCTCCAATGAAGCCACACTTCCGAAACCTTCAAATAGTGCCATTCTTTAATGCTTAATCAATGGGGAACATATGTAATTACTGAAAACAAGAAATCTTTATCCCTCCCAACAAGATCCTCTAAATGGACTTGTAATATTCTAATTTATACTTTTTTGTTTGTTTCCTGTACTAGTTAAATATGATTAGTCATATGCCTTAAACCTTAGCAACACTAAACATTATTTTCTGTGTTAAATTGAAAAAGAACTCATTTGCTGATATTTTAATGTTTTGAACAGTGTTTTCCTCAATATTCACATCTTTCCATTCCCTATTGCCTTATGGGTGTAGGGTCTTCCCTTGAATTACTTCCCCCCTGCACTTTGGTTCTGTGTTTATTTCATTTATCAAATTAAACTACCTTAATCAGTATTTATACTGTTTCAAAAGAAAAGTATAAAACTACTTTGTGTTTAGTTTGAGAAAAGTAATAATACAGATATACTAATGTAACACTGGCAAAATGGGCTGACATGCAGATTTGACAACCTATCATTCCCTGGATAGCTTTTCAGAATTTAAATCAGATCAAATGTGTACCTCTAGCAACTCAATATCTGTTTTCTGGTCCTCTGCTGATTGTCACCTGTCAGCATAAACTACATCGGGATTCAGTTATTTTCTTTTCTGAATTTAGTAGCTAGTATTTTATTAACACTCATTGGCCTGAGTTATTGATTTCTCTAATCCTATTGTAACTCTTCATAAGATGTGGCAGATCTTTGTGGTCTGAAACATTGTCTTCTAACTCCTTTATGTGTAAAATATTTCGTCATGTTCATATTCAGCAGCCAGTTAGTCTGTGAAAAAATATGTAGCATGTTAGAATTTAGACTGCAACTGATCAACAAATGATGTCCCTTCTGCCTGAGGGGAGGTGCCTGATAATGAGAATACTGACATATACTGTACTGAGTATCTCAACTGTGCAAAAGCTACACACTTCCAGAGTGGTCATTACATATTTATTTTCATCATTGTGTGTTGCCTTTCTTAAGGAAAAATTAACTGAAATTAAGCAAACTCCAGCTCCTCCAAATTTGAGAATTTTCCCTGTTCTACTTTATTATTTGTAGGATGGCATTCTTAAAGTCACGTGGATTAGAGAGGAAAGAAGTATTGAAGGCTGCAAACTTCATTGTACTTCTTTTTTTTCCCTTTTTCTCTTTTTCACTGTGGTGAAAAGATGTAGTATGAGATCAATCTTCCTAAATTTTTAAGTGCACAATAAAGTCATGTTAACAATAGCCACACTATTTTACAGCACATGCCTAGAACTTATTTATCTTCCATAGAAGACCCCTAGTAATAACTCATTTCCCTCCCACAGTCCACAGAGACCATTATTCTACAATATATTTCTATGATCTTGACTTTTGTAACTTCTTCACAAAGTGGAATCATGTGGAGATTACTCTTTGTGACTGCCTTTTTCTCTAAACACAATAACCTTCAGGTTACCAATGATGCTAATACAAGAATAAAAGATGGTGTGTCCTCTCTCTTTAGTCTACTTATTAATTTCTTTATCTTGGCTGTATTGAAACGGAAATGAGCTTATAAATACATTTTAGATAGTGATTGCATATATTTTATGTACTCCACAAATGATATTGTCTACAAAATAATTTATTTTATAATTTTTGAAAACCTGTATGATCATTAATATTTGATACCTCTGTTGTAATTTGCAAGCATAGTTCCATGGATTTCCATTATATACATCTTTGATTAATCTTGCTATTTTTATTCATCCTTATGTTGGGTAATAGTAACCCTAATGCAGAAAGTAATATGCATAGTTTAGCTTTTATTGTTGCAACATATGTTGTTATTATATGTATAGGATATATCAGTAGATGCATTCAATGTGGGGCTCATATGGAGGGCAAAGCACAACTTTAGGGAATCTGTTGTTTCCCTCCTTCTTTTTCATGTGTAGCAGGGATTGGGCTAAGGTTTCCTGGTTTGGGAAGTAAATGGCTTTATGCAGGATTCATCTCAATGGCCCTTCTTTATGGTTCTAGTTGCAGTTTTCTAACTGTTAAGGTTGGTGAGCATCATTGTACGTATCTGATGAAATTTATATGTTCTGTTTGAAGAAAAACAATCTACTTAGCTATGTGCTCATCTTTGCTTGAGATAAGCATTATTATTATTGATAGTTATTAATGTTAGTAAAGATTATTCTTTAATTTTTATGAATAGAATTATAATAACTATTATTATTTTGCTTATAATTTGCAATAAAGCAAACACTAAATCAACATACTTTCCTGACAAAAACATTTAATGGGAACAGAAAAACTCGATGATAAACGTTCTACATGGCATTCTGATTGGTAGCAACAACTAAGTGGACAAAATGAATAGTTCTTCCTGTGAGGTCAAAAGCAATAAATATGTGTGGTTTCACCACTGTATGTATCACTTCTGAGGCAATCTGAGGCAGGGTAAGAAGTCCAATAACAGAACGAAGGTAATGCATGAGCTCCTCCTGCCATTCAATGCCAGATGTAGGTACAAATAATCTTTATGATTAGTCATAATAACTATAAAGATATTTCCATTCTTAAAATGTGTTCAAGGTGATTGTCACAAATTTGCTTTCTTCAGGTGTATCATATGCAATTGAAGTTCTAATGTGTGGGGGAAAAAAGCAGATTCAATCACCATTGTGGCAACTCAACAGATTCTTAGGTTGTGGAAAAGGAAACAGTTCTGAGGCCAGCAACTAATTCAGTCTAGTGTGGACACACATAGAAAGATGAAAATCACCATTTGTGCAAGAAGTTTAAGCCATTACATATATAATAGCGAATTATACCTATCTAAAAGTGTTTCAGAGTATCTACTGTAGTTTTTAATTTATGAATAGAATTACCCAGACATATCAACCTGTGTGTAGGGATCCCATTGTAGAATATGTGAACTATGACACATGATTTTAATTTTTAAAGCGATGAGAAAAAATTATTTTTAGAAATTTTCCTCTCTCTCATCGTATAAATGGATATAGACTATATTCAGTTTTATTTTTATATAATACTAAAATATTTCTATAATTAGACTTATATAACATTTTTATATATACACGCACACACATATATATGTATATATATATATATATATATATATATATATACATACATTTTTTTTGTCTTTTAGGGTGATTATTTGTAACATAGCCCATATTATTATCACTAATATAAAAATTATTTAAATAAATTAAATTTAAAAATTTAACTAAAATTGATTCAATTTCTCTTTACTCTCCTGAAAATCAACACAAAGTATTTCATTATGAGATATAATACAAGAAGCCATTAAAACTAGTGATTTACTAAACATAATGACATTTGTCTTTAATAACCATCAGGTATTT